TTGGGTGTCATTCACCATGGTGACTGCGTGGTTTTTCGGTCACCCTCCAGTTGCTTCTGAAAGTGCTGAGGACTGCCAAGACATTGTCTGCACACAAGGAGCATTTTTGCATCTCATTAATAGCTCTCAGGAGAATATTCTGACATTCATGTGTTTCAGCTTTGGATTTGGCTTTGGAATTAGTGACCTAGATTTTGGTGTTTGTATCTCAAAGCACACCATGCTGTCTCTGGTCAGCCTTCAGAGGCAGCCAGTGCCCTGGTAGTTGCTTCCATTAAACACAGACTTCAGTAACAGGGTAAATCTGAAGGTCATGGAATAAATCAGCAGTCATAGAGCCATGTTATTGTGTCATGTTAGGAGCAGAGAAAAATTCAGTTTTGTGCTAAAAGTCCAGGAAGCCCTACATGTTGAATTTCCTGTATGTTTTGTATGTTTTCAAAGTGCATCCAAACTAACTGTGAAAACCACTCAGTTTCTACACAGCAGAGAGCATTATCTGCCTGGAACAAGCATTATGTGCTTGGAAAGGGGGATTCAGTTGAAGGCTGCATTGACACTGGTTGCAAAATGGAGTGTATAATTTTGTGTCCGTGCCCTAGCAAGTTCCTATATCAATCCATGTACTGGTACAGATTTGTTTTGTCATAAAGAAAGTGAATAGAGATAAATTTTATTGCCTTTCTTATTAAGGAAGGGTGTGCTTATTGCAAATACAGAGTTTTCTCTTTGTCCCTGCATGTAAGGTTATCAAAAGCAAAGAAATGCTGAGAAAGACCTTCCAGGGATGAACAGCCTACATTGCAGGTTATGCAGCCAGTGGACTGAAGTGTCCTAATTCAAATTTTAAAAGACTTTTTCATTATCATTCATTTGTATGGAAAAAAAATACATTAAAACAGAAGGCAGTGTAGTTAACACGTTTCATAGCTATTTGTGCTGTGTTTTGCTTTTCCTCTGATGAAACAACATCTCCCATTTCCCAGGTTAACTTGTCTTTGAAACTTCAAATGTGGTAGTAATTAAAGAGAACTTAATTGTCATTTTATGTAGCTTCCAGATCTCTTGTGCCATCTCTCCTTAAATTGTTCCCATTTGTTTCCCCTGCAAATATGAGCCTATAGTTTTGGATCATGGACAGCTGTTTCTGGCATCCTGACCACTCATCCATCAGTTTTGTTGCCCATAAAAGCGTTCTGCATCTTTGGACGCCGAGTTCCTATTTAATGGCAACTTAGAGACTGCTAGCTGCTTAAAAGAAGGAAAAGGAGGGTGATAATTTTCCATATCCCACATAAAACCAATTACACAACGCTGCTAACACCAACAAATGGCAAGTGGTATATAGAGTGGGAATGGAAGGTCATGTAAAGAAGGCTTATTTCTGGTAGATTTTTGTGGTGTGGCAGTTAGGTCCATGGCACTGAGACCCAGTGGTGCTGCCCTTGTTTTGTCCTGTGCACAGGGAGCAGGGAGCAGGCACAGGTTGAGTGCAAAAACAAATGCAGTGCCTTGATGCTTCCAGTGACTGCGTGTGAAACTATGAAAGAAGAGATGTCATCAATAGCAATACTACATGATGCAGCGTGCAAAATAAACTGATGATGAGCATGGCAGAGCATGCATTGCAGCTGGCCTTGTTATTTTTGCCTGAATTATAGGTATTTGTCACTGTGAGTCATTTCAGGGCTGTAACTAGCCTTTGAAATGAAGCTGACACAGTTGCCACCTACCTGATAAGGCTTATGTTGAAAATGAGAGAGCTCTGATCACGCTGCTGGGTAAACTTATTAGAGGGGAGCAACCACTGCAGTTGTGCAGCAGCAAAGAGGTGGGCATTGCACAGACGTGCTCCCTCTGCACTGTGCAGATAGCAGAAAGATTTGCCCATGGCCCAAGTATTTCCCCATGCTGTTTTATAGATGTAACTGCTAAAGAATACTCATTTTTTTTCTTAAGGAAAATCAATTGTCATCGTGGTTATAAATTGTAAAGAAATCACTTTAAAGACTGCCACGGTTTTTTTTTAATAGGAGTATGCAGTAGATTAATATACATGGCATTCTATTGTCATTAATTAAAGAGATTCTTGTCTGACTTTTTGAGTCAATGAAGAAATTTACAGCTGGAATCAATAGGCCAAGTACAATGGACTACAAATGTGTTTATTTTTTATAAGCATAATTGTGCGTATGGGCAATCAATATTTAATCATCCCATTGGATTAATTTCTCAGGAAATCTATGTGTTCAGGTCTCTTTGCTCACATCATGTTGGCTGATTTTGCAACAGGAGACAGGGAATAAATGCGCTTTAAATGACAGCTCAGAGGAGATGGTTTCAGCCTGCTGTGATAAAATGCTGTCACACTTCTACTTTTTTCCCTTTCTGTGATGTCAGGGAAAGGCGTTTTGCTTTTCTGTTAGTGTTAGGGAACAAGGATCTGCAGGAATTCAAAGGTAATGGAGAGAAGTGAAGAGTCCCTGTGAAGCCCCCTGTGCTAAGGATTGACTGAGTGTGGGTATGCTCTGCTGAATTAATTACAGGTTGGTAATAAATGCTCTTTCCACCAAACCCTGGTTCTCCCTAAATTTAAAGACACACACATTGGCACAAGGGCTGAAGCTTTACGGTGACATTTTCTTCTGCGTTCTCCCTTTGAATCATGAATCCTGAATTTGGAGATGCTCAAAGCCAGGCTGGCTGGGACCCTGGATAGAAAATCTGTGTTTCCCAGCTGGTTGCATAGCTCTCCAGTTCCGTATTGATAAGTCCTTAGTGTCTCAAAGGAAAAGGAGCTCTGCTTCATGTTGGTACTAGCTGCTCACATTGGCAAGCTGATGAGCTCCATGCTCATTTTCAGCAGTGTTGGATGTTAATATTTCATGACTGCCCAGACCTGGGTACCACTGCTCTTTGCCTTGGGACTTGGGAAGGGGCTGCAGCCCTCCTAGCAGCTCCCTCTGCCCAGAGAAGGGCAGGCTGTGAGTTGAGCATTGTGGTGTACCAGTATACTTCATCTGTTCAGCAGCTAAGCTGAAAAATCAGGCATGGGGAAGTTTCATGCCAAACCCATAGAGACAGTTTTGAGATGTTTGTGGATTGTTTTTTTTATGGTTTCCATGGTAAAAATAAGAATTAGAACGGAGCTGGTGTTGATTGCAAAGCTAAAAAATGTGTGTTGCTTCCTGTGGAGAAACACCAATATCCAGGACTAGCTTCAGGTGCATAATACCAAAATGAAAAATGAAACAGTATTTCTTTCAGAATGAGTAAAATATTGTAGTTGCTTCATCTGCTTTTGTGGGTCATCGAAGAAAAGGGTGATAATCCAAAGCAGCAGCTGAATGTGAGGATGCTCATGACTACTTATAGTAATCAAAACTGTAAACGTGCATGATTAATTATGAAAAGCATTTGCTGAAGTAAGTGTTCCAGTTTTTCTTTATCTGAAGGCTGGGTGCAATTCTCCACAAGGACCCAGAAATACCTTTGTGCAACAGCTGGCCAGCTTGAGGCAGCTGCAAGAAGGCAGTGTGAGCTCATGCAACCTGTAGCACAGTGTTCCTAGTGCAGTATTCACAAATGCAATTGGCAGCCAACATGCTGGCATGAAAACTATATGCTGTGGGAAAACCACTGAGCACATAAACAGGAGGGGGAACGGCTGTTTATGAGGGTGGACAGTGATAGGAAAAGGGGGAATGGTTTTAAACTGAGATGTTTTAAGCTGAGGTTGGATATGAGGAGGAAGTTCTTCAGCCAGAGGGTGGTGAGGCACTGGCACAGGTTGCCCAAGGAGGCTGTGGATGCCCCATCCCTGCAGGCATTCAAGGCCAGGCTGGATGTGGCTCTGGGCAGCCTGGGCTGCTGGTTGGCGACCTGCACACAGCAGGGGTTGGAGCTGGATGAGCGCTGTGCTCCTGTGCAACCCAGGCCATTCTAGGATTCCGTGATTTAGTGCAGTATTTTATTGATTTCAGTGGATGACTTTTTATTTTGCATCAGCAAATTGAAGTTCTAGAATAAAACATTCTCTGCTTTCAATAACCATGAAGCTCTGTATGGAATAACTGAGAATTTTGGTGCACTCACAACTCTGGTGTGCTTAGTGGAACATCTCATTTTAGTAGTACTGCACCTGTACTGTTATGTTGGGAAGCATGGTAAATATTTAATGATTTTTCCTTTGTTTCCTGGAGATAGAGTCTTTAATAAGCCCAAGTACCTACAAGTAATATTGCAATGCCAAGTCACTGTGCTGCCCAAAATGTATATAATTTCTGTTAGTCCATAAGCAATCAGACTTTGTAGGGACAGTGTGGCACTCTCTACTCATGATGCCTCCTTCTTAATTGGATTTTTTTTAAATTTTCTTGGTAAAGCATATATATAACAGAAACTATAGATTTGGATGTTGAAAATACTGCAGTCTATAAAGCACTAAAATCTATACTTTGTTGTTTTGTTTTGTTTTTTTTCTCTTAATAAAACATCCTCTTGTTTGCTCCTATTGACTTTCATTGTTCTCTGAAATCCATCCATCTTGGAAACTACAAGGACTGCTGTTAATTGTACACTAAGGCCATTAGGAGCCAGCCTATTTCTTTCTCACTCATCAACAAAAGTGCTTGGAGACCAAACTGCATCTCAGTTCTCCAGTATGCTCTCATTAGCTCCAAATGACATCCTAAATGACAGCTGTGAAACCTCATTGCCTGTAAGAGGGAGAGGTTGGGCACCTGTAGGGAGGAAAATAATGGAGGGAAGAAGGCTGCTGGATGTGGGGAGCCAATTTACCTGGGTTGTTAGATATGAGGGGATAGCATGGGCTCTAAGACAGGATGGTCAGCCTCCAGGAGGTGATAAAATAAACTGAAATCAAACTTTTTTAAGGGAACTCATGGCCCAACACAGGTTTGTATGTGCTCCCCTTCACTCCTGAGGTGAAGATAGTATCTGCCCCAAAAGCTCTGACATTTTCATTCTTTTTCTTTTAGGCTGGACAGCAGCGTTGGTGGGAACAAGAAATTACAGTGAATGGAAACATTCAAAAGGGAGAATTAATTACCTACAATCTAACTGAGCTGATCAAGCCAGAGGCATACGAAGTCCGTCTGACACCCATCACCAGATTTGGAGAAGGAGACTCCACTATTCGGGTCATCAAGTATAGTGGTAAGACCTTCAAGTACAGAGAAATGCATTGTGGCACCTTCTGCACAATTGGGTCTGCTGCATGGGTTACAGTTGTTTTATGTTGCATGATGTGAACTGACTGCCAGTCCAGCAGTGAGCTGCCCAGACCCCAAACCAGAGCAGTTTCTGTGTTATAAGGGTAAAAATACAATGAATTAATGTTATCTGCATGAATTAATCTTCATAAATCAGTGTTATCTTTGTTTCCAAGAGTTAATTCTTACCTTGAATTCTTGTTTGGGAAGTTTTCTTCAAAACTCGCTGCCCTCCCAAGTAATATTATGGAGGTGTTAAATCAGTATTTTGTTGTCATCATTTTTTTTTTGTCAGAATCAGGATGCTTTGAGAAGTTTCTGTTTAATTATGAGTGATCAAAATAACCCTGACTATTCCTAATCCTATGCAAGTGAGAAAGAATGATTCTATATTCTCCTGCAAAAGTTTGCCATGACAAGGATTTGTCCACTTGACCAGAAAAGAGAAAGTATTTCTACAACCTTCCATTCAGTCTCACAGCATTACCAAGAATTAATCCCTAGAGCTCTGAAAAGAACTCAAAATACCTTCCTGAGGGTATTAATGTAAAGAATAACTGAGTTAACTTTTTTTATTTCTTCTTTGCTGCAGTGTAGTGGTGTTTGTCCTCTGGCAGGTCTCAGGAAGCTGACTCAGTTCTCAGTTGTGGTTCACAACCACACCAAGTTTGAGCCCTTAATGAAACATCATATAATTTGCATTTCTTGCCCCAAGTTGCCCCAAGCTGCCAAGGAAAACATTCCAGTGCAACATTAAAAGATATATTTGGACTACAGCAAATGTCTTCTGCTAGAATCTGCCATTAGCACAGAGGTGAATGACATCCCATTTCAAACATGCCGATTGGACACCAAGCGTAATCCAGCTGCCCAGGAGAGATGGAGCCACCATTTTGTGCCCCAGCTGGAAGGATGCTCCTGCAGGGGTGCTCAGTGCCATCACTCAGGTGTCAACATGCACAGTTTAAGAAATGGTGAGCCAGGTGCTAATCAATAGAGTAAACCCAGAGTGACTTCTCTTTGAAGTGGGGTTCCAGACTCGCTGAGGTTTTGTGTGCTTCAGATACACATTTTATCTCAACATTTGTCCAAGCGCTGTAGTGTCAGCTAGCTATTACCAGGCTAATTTTAAGTGTGTTATAACTCCAGCTATAAAATAATGATACTGCATACGTTATTATGGTGCAAATCCAATAGTTATAATCTGAAATGCTAGAATCTTAGAAAAGCAGCTAATGGGCTAGCAGCATGCACAGCAGCAGACCAGAATTGAAGTAGAAGTAATAACAAACATTATCCAGAAAATAAGACATTGTGCGAATGTTTCTTAAATGGAGAAGATAATTTTTAATAGATTTCTCCCCATTACATTTGTTGAGACCTTAAGCACACTCACACAGACACAAATAGCCCATCCACAGTTGGGTCTTCATATTTTGAATGTAGTTTCATCCTATATGTGTGTGCAGTTTTGATCGATACCCTGCGGGCACACTGGACTTCAGCCACATCACTCCACATTTCTCACCCCACAGCTTCAGAAATACTTTTTTGGGGACTTACAACAGTTGAATACCTTGCAGTATCACTGGGTTGCTGAGATTGGAGGTGCTGCTGGAGGTCATCTCATCCAAGCTACTCAGAGCAGGCTGCCCAGGGCCACATGCAGTTGGGTCCTAACTGTCTCCAAGGATGGAGACTCCACAACCTCTCTGGGCACCCTGTCCCAGTGTTTGCCACCTTTATTAGTGTTGACGAGCTTTTTTCTCTATAACTCTCTCTATAACTATCTGAAGAGAGGTTGTAGTGAGCTGGGGGTCAGCCTCTTCTCTCATGTAACTGGTGACAGGACTAGAGGGAATAGCTTCAAGCTGCGCCAGGGGAGATTTAAGCTGGACGTTAGGAAATACTGCTTTTCAGAAAGAGTGGTCAGGCACTGGAATGGGCTGCCCAGGGAGGTGGTGGAGTCACCGACCCTGGAGGTGTTCAAGGAACGTTTGGATTTTGTGTTGAGGGACGTGGTTTAGTGAGAGCTATTGGTGATGGGTGGATGGTTGGACTGGATGGACTTGTAGGTCTTTTCCAACCTTGGTGATTCTGTGATTCTGATGTTTAAAATTTGTGCTTTTGTTTGTATTGCTGGTAAGGATTCCCACTTAAAACATGTTTTTCCATATTGTAAGCAGATTAAAAAGATTTCACCCCATTTTAAAGAAATGCAGCCAGCATGAAAAGGAGATCAGATGCACAATAATTAGAGTTGCTGAAAATGGAGCAGTGTCTTTTGCCTTTAGTGAATACATTCCCCTTGACCCTTGAGCTTCAGCTTGGTGCAAGTAGGGAACAGACAGACCATGGCCTGTAGGAGTTATTTTGACAGCTTAAAGTTGTCATTTGTAGCATGACAACCTCAGGTTGGTGCTGCCCAAAAATGTTTCTTCAGAACTAGTCTTAAAGTGTGTGAGAATCAACTTGACATTCCTAGCGCATGGGTTGTGCTTGCTGCCTTACCAGAGAGGAGGAGGTTTCTCCACATTTCTCTCAGTGGATGGCTCACCATTTAGACATGCCCATATCTCTCTGTGACTTTAGGGGCACTCTTAGATGAGGTGTCTAATTTACCAGTCAGTGAAGTTAGGTCACGTTACTCCTGCCTGTGCAGTCATTTTTGTTGAGTTGTGCTGCAGAGCACATTGCATTTTAACTTACAATCCACAACTGGAGTTTAATGGGAAAAATGCTCATATATAAATAATAGCTTCCAGTGGGCTAGCCTGCTGGTAGCCATCTGAATGTCCAAAATGACAAGGCTACTACAATACTATCAAAGCAGGAGAAGCCTTATTTATGAGCTCTTTACAGTACGCCCTGCCATCCCAAGCTGGAGCTGTGCATGCAAGACAAAACCTCCTTGCTATCCAAGCCCACAGATCAAAACCTCACACATGGTGGAAGCATTTCATAGGGAAATTCCTTGCCTGCCATGAGTTATTTTCTCCTCCACGCACAGAAGGAGTGGGAGAAAAGGACAGTCATCACAGTAGGAGTGACATTGTAATTACAGCCAAACATCACTTGACAAATTCTTTGGTAGGTGCATATGTTACTCTGCTAGTGATCACAGTCTGGCAAGTAAATACTAACAGGGCAGTTTAAGTAGCACTAATAAGTGTTTTGAAGGCTGGTACGAAACAGATAAGTCTTTTAGTAACAGGTTCAGTGTAATCTCCATCACTTAACATAAATCTGTGTCAGCCTCCGTGATGCAAACAAGCAATAACATCCTCCAGCTATTCCAATTAGCACTATTTCAGATATGGACTTATGGTTAAATATTTCTAACCAGTGGTAAACAAGCAAGTTAATTTCATTTTTGTGAATGAAGCCCAAACCCTAGCATTGTATCTATTGTATGTAGAATCAGCCCTCTGTGACATGGCAGGTAGATGAGGCTGCCAATCACTTAATGGCCCTGCCTGTAGATTCTTATACAGGTTAGGAACTTCCCAGATCCTGTATGGAAGAAGTGTATGTAATTGTTCCATTTGTTATTATTACTATTATATTTCTGGGCCCCACAAGAAAAAAAAAGATATCAAATAAAGCATAAATTATAGGATTTATAAGTATACACAGATGTAAGTATGAGGCTGTTGTGTAAGTAGTATGCAAAGTTACCATTATGGGAACAAGAAAGCCTTGCATAGAGAATCAATATCTACAATGAAGACTGCTTTCCACTATGCAAACCAAGTGCTTTTAAAGGTTTGGACTCCTGATCCCTCATTAAAGCTTTTAGATTCTGGTTGTAATTACTGTAAGTAGACAGCAGTTTCCAGTAGTAGAAAACAGAGCAGCTGAATACCCAGCATACTTACCTCTAGATTGATGTTTCTCGGTCGGTTTGCAGCTTTGGGGAGCAATGTCTCAGTGCCTGTACAAGTTCCTGAACACGTGTCTGTATCAGGGAGGATCTCTGGGAGACATCACTGTATAAATGCAGTTACAAGGGCAGGGACTGACAACAAACATTCTGCCCACATTTTTCTGCCATCACCTGCACATATACAGATCACTGAAAAGTGAAGTTGTCCGACAAGTTGAAATTCCACTGGGCTTTATTCCCTGTTGGAATTATAGAATTATAGAATCATCAAGGTTGGAAAAGACCTTTAAGATCATCACGTCCAACCATAATGCAAGTTAAAAATCAGCTGTATAAAAGCTTACGTGATAAGGTCATGCAAGTTAGCAACATAAATTCACCGCATACGATGGAAGAATGAAAACAAAATGAAAAATTTCATGGTGTCTTAGGAGGGTGATTCACTGACAGTGAGCAAAATAACAGACAGATTTGCTAGACTCAGGGGGATCCCAGATATAGACTGATGAATGATTTGGTTATATATATTGCACCATCATTTTTTTTGCCAATGCAAACAACAACAACAAAACCCACCCATATGGGGACAAAAAATCATGTACAATCCTATGCATAGGACCGTATCTGCAATGAACAACTATTCTATGCTGGTTTTAATTCAGACAGTCAGTTTGATGGCTGGAAATTTGCTGCTGGTTTCAGACTCAGGAGGCTGTGGTATATTGGCAATGCTGATTTGAATAGGAATATGCTCTTTGAATAGGAACACTAAATGTTGTTGGTTGGTTTGTTTTCTTTTTTTTTCCTTCTCCATTTGAGACTGTCAGTCTTAATAATGAGGATAATGTATTTTTATAAAGTGTCTTATGTCATTTTCTAAAATCAAAGCACTAGATCTAAATAGCTGAACTTCATTAAGGAGATGAAAAGAATAAAAAGGGGCATCTGGCAGAAGAAGGGAGGACAGTATAAAAATAGAGGCATATGTTACTGCATGCTGGAGAAAAGGCAGAGAGATTAAGGGATGATCCGCCTCAGCTCTACCCGAGCTCACATCCTTCCTGATGCTTGATTCTCCTCCTGAGATTCCCTAGCATTAAGCCAGGCCAGCAGAGCAGAGCAGTGAGAACCTCATAGGCACAAAGCCTTTCCAGATGTTCCCAGTTCAGCCTTAGGAATTGCTCCACCAGTCATCCATTGGTTTATCTTCATGGCTAATTGAATGAGCTGCCCTCACATTGTGCACACAGCAGCCTCACCTTTCAGCAGTGAGACCTGGAGCTGTCACACTTCATCACATGGCAGCTTAGTGCACCACTTAGGAGAGTGAGCTTTCTGGGTTGCTTTATTTTCAATTTTATTTTATTTTTCTAGTTTATTTTGTTAGATAAGTACAGCCTAACTTCTTCAACTTGCTTTTCTGATTTTGTCCATCAGTTTGAACCGCTTGGCAAGAAGCCTTTTTTGCTTTGCTGTGTGAACAATCTGAGTAGCATGACTCAAGGTTATGCACTGATAACAGTTTCCATAAAAGCCTGCACGTTTAGTTACAAAGCAAGCATCACTAAACGTAGTTTCCAGCAATTTCAGCTAATTCCAAGTTCAGTCACTCAAGAAGCTCGCAGAATGAATGTTTCTTGGAGAAAGAAAGGTAATTTGTTGGTAAAAGCTATGAGGTTGTCTCATATAATGTAATGACTAAGTTTCTTAAAATTGCACAGGGGCAAGTCACTGTTCATTTGTTTCAGCAAAGAAAGATCAGATGGCAGAGTCACTAAATCAGACCTGTTTTAAAAACTTCAGGTCGAGGTTAGGGCTAAGTAGAAACTGTGGCTGAGGTCAGAAACCAGGAGTTCATGTCTCTGAACATAGCTTGGCAACGGCATCGAGACATGGAGCAACACTTAGATGGAAATCAGGGGTTACCAGACGGACACAGCATCTGCATACAGTTCTAATGGTGGGCTCAGCATCCTTCTGTTTCTCACATGCGTAAGGGCTTCTAGAAGGGCTCTGTTTCCTAAGTCTCCCATCCTCACATATGCTCTTCTACAAATAGCACAGAAATGAAGACTTTCGTTTCTCCCTCAGACCAGATTTCCAATGTTTAGCATTGTTCAGGTCAGTCTGGGTGTAAACTTGGGTAACTCATCCCACGGCTAAGATATCTGTAAGCATGACTAAGGTTTGACTTTCATCCTGTTCCATCCTCTGGCTGATAGGTGAACCTCAGTATTAAAGAATTAGAAATTTAGAGCTTTTTGTGATTTTGCTGAGGTTCTGTTAAACAAGAACCTGTGCCAAGGATGCCCAGCACCAGTCATCATACTCTGTCACAAAGGGCGTTGCACAGACCCAGAGAAGAGACAGAAATAATATTTTTCAGCAAAGTAATCTCAAAACCTCTTTGCAGTGGTGGAAATTTGGTTTTGACGCCTCCCAAGAGGAGGAGTGGTCATCAACTGTCCATGCCATGGGGCAGGGAATGAGCAGAGGTGGATGCATAGGGGAGGGCAGAACTGCTTTGTAGCTTCTCCATCTCCAGGAACACAGCCCTGGAAAGCAGCATCCAATGGACATGGGTGCTGCAGTGCTGGCAGCCCTGGGGACAGCACGCCTCACCTTTCTTTGTCTTCTAGAATGTCTTTAAAACATTTCCCCCTAGAAGAGGATTTATGCAGCAGGCTTGCAGATTTTGTTGGTTTTTGGGTTTTTTTTTTGGCTTGATTGTGTCTCTTGGCCTAATGGGATCAAACCTCTTCTCTCCAACTCGCTGTGCTTTTGTTTCCTGCTGCTTAAAAAGAAAAATTGTGATTTCTGGGAAGAATGCAAGTGCTATCCATTCGCAAACTGAAGAATAATAGAAGAATAGTTTGTTACATTAAATATCCATGAACATTGATAAGACCAACAATTGAGTAAAGCATAATGCAGAACCTCTGCTTCGGATGAATACATCCTTCCTGTGTCTTTTGTTGGATTCCTGCACAAAGGCATCACCCTGAAGTTTTGCTGTGCAGCTGTCCTCTTCTGTACAGTGCCTGTGCCAATAATCTAGCTTTGATGCTTAATTACAGCATCTCATTCCCCAGGCTGCATGTGATAATGATGGAGCACGTGTAATGAGTGGAAGAGGCTTTTCTCATGGAAGCCATTGCCTTTGGCTTGTCAGGAAGCTGCAAAACTTGCTCAGAAAGGACAGCATCAGTTTTGATGACTCTGTTAATGTGGGACCCATAATCAGGGTCCTCAGGAAGGGGATCATTGGGCAATTTAGGATCACCTGTGTGTTGGTTTCATTAAGTTTTTCCCTTAGTGCTAATTTTATTTTTGCTCTCTCTTTCAGCTCCAGTAAATCCACACCTACGTAAGTATTTCTTTATCTTTTATTCACATGAAGAGCTGTCCTTGCACCTGTTGTCCTTTGTGCTTAAAAAGTGACTGACAGTTATTCCACTTTCAGTCGCTGTGCCCCTTAGTTTTGTGTGCAAGCTGAGCCTGATGGTGTCATTCCTCTTGTTCTGCAAAGTGCCAGAGCAACAGGTGATGGAGGAAGGACGTATTGTAGCTCCAGCCCATCTTTGTTGTTAGGGTAGTATGGTCAGGTTGTGGTTGGACTTGATCTTTAAGGTCTTTTCCAACCTGAGCAATTCTATGATTCTGTGACTGAGAAGGATCTGTGTCTGAGCCTTAGCAGACAATGTAAACATCTCAGAGGAAAAGTTCATTTAGAGCATTTTCCAAAGTAATTTCTCCTTGCGTGAGAACTACTTGTGCATCTCTTGAAGTACATCTACACGAGCATGGATTGTGCCAGGTGACTTCCAGAGGTCCCTTCCTACCTTACCCTTCTGCGATTGTCATTCTGTGATTCCACGATTCTGAGTGAGTTACTGCAATCCTTCCAGCTGCAGTCAGCACCTCATAGAATCATGGAATTGCTCTGACTGTGTCCTGCCTGATGTGTGGTGCTCAGTAGCACATGAACGTCTCCTGGTACAACTGTTTCCCATTCAAATCACCCACGGGCACCAAACCTTTGCCAGTACAGCAGGCTGGAGCTAGGAAAAACAGCTTCATTCTAACGCTAACATCCTACTTCATCCCCCATCTGTCTACTTCATGATTGATTTCCACTCAGTAGCAAGGGCGTATTTTGTGGGACATACTCTGATGTTATTCTTGCTTTTAATCACATATGCAGAAATGCTCCTGTAAATGGAGTGGGGCTCTTCCATTATTGCTGCCCTGGTGCAGCCATAGGCAGGCAGAGAAGCAGCAGCAGGCTGTGCAAGCAGCCTCTGTGTGTCTCTCAGAGGATGGCCAAACTTTTCTGTAAATTTTAAACTTATTTGCTGAAGGTCTTGTGAGATGCATTAATAATTAATCAGGGCTCAGTTTAAAGCTCGTGGGAGCTGAAGGATCCAATCTCATTGACTTAAGTGAGCAGTAGATGAGGCCCTTGCTAATTAATGTATTAAACATATACTCTCTGATGTTAAGAAAAAAAAAGCATTGCACTCCCATGTGCTTCCCACTATAATCTTCTATGATTTTAAGATCTGAAATTGTCTCATTTTCAGAATGTCTCTATTGTACAGTTCAAAGCAGCAGTTCTGCCAGGCACGTGGCTCAGTGCAGGTGGCACCCGAATCACCCTTCAGGTCAAAATCCTGCTGGCTCCAGGGAGGGAGACTTCTGGCAACCTGCCCACCATTTCCATCCTCTGCTTCTGACTCTGTCTAGCTGTGCACCTCTGCTAATGGGAGAGTTTGCCCACTGGGAGCTATAGGGCACCCGGTGACATTTCTTTCAGACGACCAAAGAGGTGGTTAAATCTTGAAGGCTTGCTTTTTTCCCCAGTGACTTCTTGAGTGAAACCCTTTGAGGAGAGAAATCTGCTGGGAAAGAGAAGCTCTGGCTCCCACAGCAAATTCAATCTCATCTTTATCCTAGCTTTCTACAATCTCATTTTATGTCACTGAAAATGCAGGATGAATGGTGATGTTGTATGTTATATAACACCAACCAGCTTCTGACTCTTTCTAAACCTGTTGGGCTGAATTCTAACTTTATTTACACCACTGTGAATGAAGAGTAAGTGCCCTATTCAACTGGGGAAAATATCTGGAAACTGAAGGCACACCTTCCTGCTCAAATTCTGGAATAATCACATGGCAGAGAACATTCATTCTCATGAGATTTCTGCAGTAGATAAGGAAGTAGCATCAAATGACTGAAAAACTGAGATTTTGCCTTAGAGCTACTTTCGTGTGTGTGTGTGTGTGACACATAAATAAGCTGTTTAATGGAACCCGTTTATAGTAGACCAAACTACTGTATACTGTAGACCAGTACCTAAAGGGAGCCCGTAAACAGGAGGCAAGCCAACTCTTTGAAAGGGTAGATAACAGCAGGACAAGGGGAAATGGTTTTGAGTTGAAGGAGGGAAGATCGAGGTTGGATGTCTCACACTATGGGAGGTGAGGTGCTGGAACAGCTGCCCAGAGAGGCTGTGATGCCCCGTCCATCCCTGGAGGTGTTCAAGGCCAGGTTGGATGGGGCCCTGGGCAGCCTGGGCTGCTGTGAAATGGGGAGGTTGGTGGCCCTGCATTTGGCATGGGGGGGTTGGAGCTTCGTGATCCTTGAGATCCCTTCCAACTGAAGCCATTCTGTGATTCTGTGATTTTGTGATTCTGTGATTCTATGAACATTGAAGAATTTCGTATCGGTGAGTGCAATTAGATGTTACACTTAAATAATGGAAGACATAAGATGTGAAAAAGTCATTCAACTTGAATTTTATGGAAAAAGAATTCATATTAGGATGAAAAGCCTTGCACTTTGAGTGCATATTTTGCTGTGATTGGCAATAGATTTATTTAATAACTTGCATTAAGGGTTTGGACCAACAATTCACCTCTGCCCTTAATGATGTTTGGGACCATTTTTGGTACCCACAGCTCCATCAGTTCTCAGTCCCCATCCCCAAACCTTGCCTGTCTGCAGGGATGGGGCACCACCACCCCTCTGGGCAGTCTGTGCAGTGCCTCACTGCCCTTAGAGTGAAAAACTCCTTATTTCCAGTCTTACTCTCCCCTCTTTTAGTTTGAAGCCATTTCCCCTTGTCCTGACAGAAGAGACACTGCTGAAGAGCTTGTCTCCTCCTAGAGACAGTCTCCAATTCCTGCACAGGGGAAGTATAGAGCTAATCCCAGGGAACTACTTCCCATTTGTATTCATCTGTTATTTTTCACAAGGTGTTTAGTGCCAAGAATATTTAGCACTAACCTTTTCCAGTGCATTCCAAATGGCAGGGTTCCACGTGAAACTGGTATTTTCATATTAGATAAATGGCAAACTTTTACTTGCCTTTCTTCATCTAGCCTGAATGCATTAATTTGTTTCACTTGAAGAAAAGGCTGATGTGGATTTTGTTCTGCTGATGTGGTGGAATTTCTTAACGAAGCTCTGAGGGCACACTGTGACACGGAAATGCAGCTTTTAAGCAACCGGAGGGGCAGTGGTAGGAACCACTGAATAGCTGGGAATGCTTTGTCTTAAATCACTTTGCTGGATCTGATAGGCAGAATATTACTCCTTTCGCCACTGTTTGGCCTTTCCATTTTGTCTCACTGTGTAGAAATAGCACCTAGCATGCTATAGGAAAGGTGTGTATAAGTAGAGGCCCAATGTAGTGTCAACCAAGCAACGCACGTCAGAGTGCTTCCTTGGTGTCATTGCTCGTTCAAGACTTTTGTTAGGGTCTTTGTGTTCTCCTGCTCTTGGGGACAACGATGAAGGTGTTGGTCTGCACCCATTCTCCCTGGAAGGACTTTGGATGGAGTTCACAGCCCAGGTGTTCTTCTTTCATGTGCCCATCTCTCGAGCAGAACTGCTGTCAGGCCAGTGTTTGTATTTCTCCTCCGTCGTGCTTATGGAGGTGCTCCTGTGCCGAACGGTTTTGCGCATCCCCTCTTCATCATTCCAAATTCAGCATTCAAAAAGCACTACCTCCAGAATCAAACTGAAGTCCTGAAGTGGGCTCCTCATTGCCTTGATGCCTTCCAGCCGCGTTTCTGAGTTAATTCTTCTGGAGGATCTAATAAAGGCAGTAAATTGATCAAGAAATCAAGCCTGAGGTGCTCGTAGGCATGGAGGCTTCTGTGGACTGGGTTTTTGTGGCAACCTGGTGTTTGGAGCAATGCTTCGTGCTGACTGCTATGCAGCAGGAAGTTTTGTTGCTCAGCATGAGCAGAGGCAGAGTGAGGAAGGCTTGGAAAGCACTCCTAATGCACCTGGTGGATTGGGAGGAATTGTCAAGCCTGTTTTTTCAGTTTGCAGCATTATATGATTTTAAATAAGCTTCAGAGCAGCATCCTTGCTTAGCAGTACATATCCAAGCTAAGCCCCAGGTCCTTCTGTCTTTACTGATTTGCAGTGAAGCTCCAGTGGCTGAAGTGGATTTATAGTTTACTGAAGCCCCAAACCTGCAAACATTTATACACCTTCTGAATTTAACACAGATGAATGGTGCCTGGTGTTAGAGTTTCTCCTAACAATGAATATAAATTGCACCCCTATAACGAATGCTGTAGCTTACACAGTATGCGGACAGCTGCATTCTCCCAGGAGAAGAGAGATTTGCTTGTTTTCTCAGATAAATCAATTGACTTTGCTGGAAGAGTAAACTCAGCAGGAACTGCTCGTGTGTATAAAATTAAGCTTTTGCACATTTTACTACACGAGGCCTCATTCTGTTCTGAGATGAAAACTGAACCTTGAAGTTCTGGTTTGTTTGGTTCCTAAATGCCTGATTATAGGACTTCCCCAACCCATCGTAATCCAGAGCTGGGATCATTGGGATGGTGTCTGACAGACCTGCTTCACAAAAGAGAGGATCCCAATAATCCTGATTGGGGATCATCATGTCTACTCTAAATATTTCCTCTTATTCTGGCCATTCTTTGTTTTCCCAAACCTATTGACAACTAAGAGGAATTTAACAGACACCACATTGCAGACCACATTTTCCTGTTGAAGAGGTGCTGTACCCTTCTCCTAAACGTTCTTATCCCTAAACCAAATAACCTACTGCTTCCTGTTTTTCCCACACCGTTCATGTTTTATAGACAATGCTATCCATTCTTCTCAGCCCTTTAGAAATCGTAGCTGGGTCAGTAGAGACAGTGTCTCTAAGGGCTGTTACTTATAGGTGAATAGGTGAGAAGGATCTAGACAAGATTGAAGATAATTAATTTCAAGTAGCATTAACACAGGATGATGACGGTACCTTTTTTCATCAGGGTCACTTAAAAGAGAACACACAGTCAACAGTAGAGAATGATGTAAAGTAAATGTATATCTATTTCCAGTGCTGCTAATGAGCACCAACCTACAGTGTGTTTGAAAACAGTTTGGATGTGGTGCTCAGGGACATGATTTAGCCGAGGCTTGTTAGTTAGGGTTGTTTGGTTAGGTTGGACTTCATGATCTTTGAGGTCTTCTCCAACCTGAGCAATTCTGTGATTCTGATTCTACTACATCTGTTCTCATGGACAGGTAAGCAAGCATTGAGTGCTGTCAGGCACTAAATCTCCTCTCATTTGCTGTGTTGGCAGGAGAGTTCCACTGTGGGTTTGAAGATGGTAACATTTGCCTTTTCACTCAAGACGATACGGACAACTTTGACTGGACAAAGCAAAGCACTGCCACTAGAGACACAAAATACACTCCCAACACAGGGCCAAACGCAGACCGGACTGGCTCCAAGGAAGGTAAGCTCCAGGGTGCGCCCGTTCCTCCTGCACTGGGAGCTCTGCAGCTGCTCTGGGGTCAGGGATCTCCATCCAGCTGTGTCCTTCCAAATCACACCAAGATAAGCATGCCTCAGGGACCTCAGAAGGAAACTGCCAGAGCTGAGACATGCGGCCAGTCCCTATCAGAGCCCACTAACAGCACCATTAACCACCTTGTATTATTTCTATTGCGCCATTTCCAACCGAAAACTTCCACGTTACAGCCTGGTGGGGAAACATTCTAGCACGTCTTGAACTGTTCAGTTTTATGTCATTTAAATTCTAACTTGGACTCTCAGACTATCACAGTGAGGTCTTTTTGCCCCGTTTTTACTTTGGGTGTTGCTAAAACATGTAATTTTCAATCTGCTACTCCTGTTAACAGAAGTGTGCCGTCTTGACTGCGGTATATATTTTCATTTGAAAAGTCAGACATATTGTGCTGAATTTATCAAGTACTGCAGTAACTTGAGCTATTTTATTGTGTGCCCCATGCCCTCTATTACCAAGAGGGAAAAAATCATACTGCATCATATTTGCTTGGTTGGATTAAGTAAATGCACTGTTGTTGGTGCACTTCAGAATAAATGAATATTTTCTTCTTGTGAGCCGTTGAACTGGGATTGACATGGGGAGTTTAAATCGTTCATCATTTTTTTTTTTTTTTTACTTTATTTTAAAAACTCTCCCCTCTCGTTGTTTATAGGAACAAATTGCAACCTTCAGTCTGAAGTCTGAACCCCATTATAAAGATTTTTTTCTTTTCTTGAGCATATACAATGTTATATCAATATGAAGTTGTTTATGAGTACTGACCTATAAGCCCTGATTTTATCCTGCTAGAAAACATCTTTGAATCAGCTGTGGAAAATATATGGGCTCAGTGCACAACAAATACGACTCTGAAACCGTGGTGTTCTCAGATGAACGTGAAAAATTAACCAAGATAGCCCAATATCTTCCTGTTGGTGTATTGTGTTGGCTTTTTAAGACCACAACATAACAATTTTCACTTGTCCTTCCTAGGTTTCTACATGTACATTGAGACGTCACGCCCCAGGCTGGAAGGGGAGAAGGCCCGACTCGTCAGTCCTGTTTTCAGCGTTGCTCCGAAAAATCCCTATGGAGCTACGAACACAGCCTACTGTTTTAGCTTCTACTACCACATGTATGGACAGCACATAGGTAGGAGAGAGCCGAGGACCTTGTATTTTCACTTTGGGAGAGATAGCAGGAGAAATGCCCAGATTTATGGAAGGGAAACACAGGATCAGTTCCAAAACCAGCTACAACCAAGGCTGGCAAGAGAGCCACCTGAAAGCATTCTTTTGGTCATAAAACTTTTCCCCACAATCAGTATGCCAGCAGGAATCCTCTAAGGGTTGACAAGAGCATGTTGTGTACACATGGGGTTTTGAGCAGGGGCTCTTGAAAGTGTGAAGATTTGCAAAGGCTTTGCCTGGTTTTGAGTGTTTTTTGCCTGGTCACGGTGTGTTGAATCTCTCCTTGCAAGTTAAGAGATGAAGCAATTAGCAGCACAGCCCTTGTGCTATGCAGCAGCACATGGGTCCTAAAGGAAAGCCTTGAACAATTCACTCAAAAGCTGTGGAAGCAGATCTCTCCAAGGTGAATCTTTAGGTCTATTTTTAGTCATAGCTCTTTCAAGATACAGGTTTAATTACTTTGCACGGTGTTAAAGAAAAAAAGAAGAAGAAAAAAAAAAAGTGTGGGAAAATGTAAAAGTATAAGCCTGAGCCAATTTTTCTAAATCCTGTAAATCCCTGTGGGTTCTTGGTGCTTACCAGTGCGTTGGGAGGCTTTCCAGTGCCACGCTGCCCTGACTCGGTGTATTTTATAGATATTTTCAAGGGCAAGAACATCCTCGTAGTGCATTCTGGTGGTTGCTTTGGGAAACATTCAGCTGCCTGCAGGCAGAGCTCGGGTTATAAATAGAGCAGACAGCTCGCTCCATTCTGTTAGCTGTCTGCACTGCTGAGCACTCAACGCAGCCCCCAGTGTAAATTCTGCTCACTCCGTGTTGCAGGAGGAACTGGAGCCATGCCATGCTGAGTGAAAGAAGTGCAGAGTGCTCCTTGAGCCTGCTTCTGCTATAGGACAGTGAAGAGCAGAGTTATGACCATGAAGGGTCGAAGAGTTCTTCTGGAACTTCTTAAATTTAGGATAAATATAAGAAAAACAGCCATTGAGGTTGACATCTGCCCACGAAAAAGTGACCCCTAATTTTTGCAGTTTTGGTCTTTCTCCTGGGCTGCCCTTCTGCCCTTCTCTATTTTGGCTGAAATTGTTCTTTTCTGTGTCATTTCTTGAGCTGACACATAGAGTGCTGCCTGACAAAGGAGCTGACCCACAGATGAAGGTGGTGACAATGACAGTTAGTGATCGGGTGTACGACTGTCCAGGTTTGGTTTTTTATGGTGATGTGGACACTTGGATGTCAAAAAACAAAATCCCTCAATGTCACTTCTCTAATGTTAAAAAATATAGATGACATCATTTTAGCTACTGTGGTCCTGTGGTCTAGTTTTGAAAGCAGAGAGGCTGTGATGCCCCGTCCATCCCTGGAGGTGTTCAAGGCCAGGTTGGATGGGGCCCTGGGCAGCCTGGGCTGCTGTGAAATGGGGAGGTTGGTGGCCCTGCATGGCACAGGGGGGTTGGAGCTTCGTGATCCTTGAGGTCCCTTCCAACCCAAGCCATTCTACGATTCTGTGAACAATTTTATACAAAATTGTTCTGTCTCCAAAGACAGAAAGGTGATAAATTAATAGTGTCAGCCATGTGTTTGAATGCAGGTACCATTACTAAATTCAACATTATCGTATTCTGACAAAATGTTAGAAAGCACATGAGAACACAAAAAGCATCCAAGAAATGAGTTACGAGATCAGCAAATGTATATCATCTGATCCCCCAACTCCATCACCTTTATTGCTCTCATGAGAATAGTAAAAAAGGGAAGAGAAAAACCTCAGGAGCAGTGATGTTCTAAGACTTAATGATTTATGCACATGGTTATGTTAGGAATGGTTACATTGGTGAGGTCACCATTTGAATGATTTTTGGAAGATCTGTGGTCTTAGAAATTGCTTCATTTTTAGGAAAGGAGTTGCTATATTTAGGTAATTATTATATTTAGGGATTGTTATATTTAGGGTTTATTATATTTAGTGGAGGCTTGATAGAGTTGGGGTAGTTTGGTTAGGCTGCAGTTGGACTTCATGATCTTTAAGGTCTTTTCCAACCTGAGCAATTCTAGGATTCTATGATTCTGTGATTCTATTACAGCACAATGCTTTGCCCAGGCAAGTCAGTCCTAATCAGCATTTTGGATGACATATGCTCCACAACCTTCATTTAGAAGATATATTTTCCATTGCAGCACATTGTTTAGTTTCTCTTTTCATATCTATGCTTCTGAAAGTTACATAGCTAAAGTTATCTTCATTCTGACAAAAGTTTGGCCTATGGGTGAATCTAATCATATTTTGAACAGCTATTTTAAAGCTGAAATTTCATGCAAGCAGTTTAGTTTTCTGAGCTCACCTTCAGTCTTGTGCTCACCTTCCGACCATGGAAGTAATTTCTGCCCAAGGCAGAATGCCAGTGGGCACATATAGAAATGCAAGGAATTCATCAGATTGGCAAGAATTTTCATTTCACAGTGAAGGTGTTCAAACATGGGCACAGATTGACCAGCGGTGTCTCTGTCCTTGGAGACAACCAAATGGTCACTGTCCTGGGCAACCTAATGCTCTGCAACAAATTCCAGAGGTGCCTCCTACCTCAAAATTCTGTGATTCTCTGTGAATTATTTAATTGATAGATAATTTATTTTTTTTTTTTTGAGAAGATTGCCATTTTGTTAAGGATAAACACCGTGTAGATATGTCTAAATCTTATTACTACACCAAATTGACTGTTTTACCATGAACCCTTGACCCTTCGCTGCTGTTCTGGAATTTGCAGTCAGTATATACATAGAAGGTTCCTCTGACCCCTACGCAGGGATAAGCACTGCCCATCAGGGCTTCAGTATGCACTGGCAGGGTGGGAGCTGCCAACTGAGACCTCACACATGATCTCTGTGCTGAGGGCTCTCTCTTTCCAATGACCTTCAGCTGCCACTTCTTGACTGGTTCTCTCTGAAAACTGGAATGTCTTGCAAGAGAATGGGACTTAAACAAGTTCCTGCCTGTTCCTCCCTTGTACCTGTGGACCACCATTCAGAGAAGATACAAGGCTGTTAACCCTTGATTTTTTTGTCCATGTTATCATAGCGTTGTTCAGCAGACTTCAGAGCTGCATGTCTGCTTTTCTATTGGGCTTTATTTTCCCTAATTATCCATAGGCTTTCCAAAGAGGCTTTCCAATTAGGCTTATTACTCCCCTGTTTCCAAAACAGTCTCTGCACATCAAAACATGTCTGCATTTCCAGCAGAGGTGCGAATGATCCCTAATTTAAAAAAATGGAGGACCATCCTAGATGCTCTTTCACTGGTGCTGGGATGCAGGCATGGGGGAAAAGAGGCATCATCCACTGTTCTTACACGAATGACCTCGGTGACATCAATTTGAAAACATGGCTGTTGCGCTATGCTGTAAAAAGCAGCCATCCAGTTTATCCTGCCCAGCATCCGTGCCTGCTGCTCAGGTCTTGGTGTCTCTGGAGAAGAGCCTGAAAATGTCGGTAGCGATAAGGAGTGGTGCTTGGGAGCCTTTGCAGAGCGCAGATCCGAGATTAGCACTGAAGCTGTGGCACGGCTCTGGCGAGATAAGCAGAGGCCTACATCCCATGCCAGGTGGTTCGATTCGGGAGGATGAAGTGTGCTCTGCCTGAAATAGATGGCGCTTGCTCACAAGTTGGAGTTCAATTCCCAGTGGGTCTCACGGCCGGCTCTGAGGCTGCTGGCTGCCAAGGAAAGTGCCCATGCTGTTCTCCACATACTTCAAAGGGAGAAGGTGCATTACCTTAAACAGAAAGGAAATAGAAGATCCCATTACTTGATTTGCAGCAAACAATGAGCCGTTGTTGGGGGATAAGAGAATGAAGAGTCGCTGTCATTATATCTGTGTATTGAGAGAGAATGAGGTTGTAGCTCCATTATAGACGTCACTGTTTTTTTAAGCCATCAGTGTTTCTGATTTTTCCATCCGCACCTCGATGTGGAGCACTGCTAATTGGCTTTGTGAGAACAGCCATTTTTCTTATCATTGGAGCCACTGGGAGCTGCCCAGGTCTTGGCTGCTGAGCTCTGCGCCCTGCAGATCCCAGCCCTCTCAGTGGGATGATGCCAAGAAATGGATGTCCTTCATTCTCACCTGCTGCTCCTGGACACAGTTTGGGTTTCTGACTCCCATCTATCTGGAGCTCTGAATGTCTGTATCTATGGGCAGAGTCTTGCTGGGCACACCTCAGTGAGAATGACACAGCCAACTTGTTCTCCCCACAGCACTTGCAAAGGCAGAACACTTTTCTAAACCCTTCTTGGAAGAACATATTGCATTTCAAAGCTAGGCACTTGTTGCACATCACATTTTGGACAGGTTTGTGACCATGAGGGACAGGGACAGAAGAGAAGGCAATGGGGAAAGCTGAGAGCGGCCATTCAGTATCTAATGGGGCTGTAAGAAATAAAGGGACAGAGTCTTTAGCAGGGGCTTTTGTGACAGGATAACAGTTTCCAACTAAAAGAGGGGAGAGTTGGATTGGAGATAAGAAGTTTTTTGCAGTAAGGGCAGTGAAGCACTGGCAGTTCTCCCAGAGAGATGGTGCTGCCCCATCCCTGCAGTCAGCCAAGGCCAGGGGATGGGCTGTGAGCACTGATGGAGCTGTGGGTGTCCCCGTGCACTGCAGGGAGTGGGACCTGATGGCTCGTAAGGGTCCCTTCCAACTCAAACCATTCTGTGATCCTGTGATCTGGTACAGGAATGGTTATTTTATGTTTGAAGTAAGGCTGCGATCACCTGCTATTAATTTCAAGAAATTCCATGACACAGGGAGGCTGGGAGTGATACAACCAACCTTAAATCTCTGTAACCTCAGCAGTGATGGATTTACATGCTTTTCTTACCTAAATTATTTAGTGATTCCACACAGCCCTGCAGCATGGCAGACTGTGCAAATGGGTGAAATAATTACCAGCTCTCCTTCCCTTCTTTAATACTGGCATTGCTTTTAGTCTTCACGAGAAGTAACTTTCTGTGTAGTGCTGTTACTTCAAGTAGTGCTGTCTGAAGTCCTGCCTCTTCTCCTGCCTTGAACCCAGCACAGTAGTTAAAAACAGAATGGTTTGAATTGGAAGGGACCCTAAGAGGTTGTCTGGTCCTGCTCCCTGCAACGAACAGGAACACCCACAGCTCCACCAGGTGCTCAGGTTTTTTGAGGAGAGAATGGGAGAAGCAAACATTTCTCTTCTGCACGTGGCAGGATGAGGTGTTTTTGGTGTACCCATAGCAGGCAGAGATGGACTATCACTGCTACAATCCATTCCTCCTTTGTGCAGCTTGTTCACCTCCCATGAATTTGGAAATAAATGCTGCAGGAGGGACCAGCAGCACCACCTCCCAGCTCCTTCCCAGGAGATGGGCACCCTGCTGAAGCAGCGTGATGAGAATACTCACCGCTCCATTCCCCTTTTAGCTCATGCTTTTCAAGGCACTGAGTTTTGCTATTGCTCGAAATAAGAAGTTTTTATTAGCAGGAGCTGAGTCACTCTGCAGCTGCCTCAGATCTGAGAGGTCTCCTTGCAAATGTGATTTGTGCCAGCCTCCCAGATGCCACTCCTGACTCTCTGAGAAACATGGTTTTGTGTGAACCTGGCTGTCTGAGCATTCTTGAAGGCAGATGCAGTGATTCCCATAGCACAGAGACACTGCCCCACACATCTGCAGTCAGAACGGTGAGCGAGAAGAACAATACCTCCAAACAGTGATTTGCTGAACTCTGCTCAATGAAGACAGTGCTGCCTCTTGGTGCTCATGGACAGCCTGGTTTTTGCTCACAGCCCATCAGAGAAGGGGGAGCACTGTGCAGAAGGGAGCTGAGTGCTGGGATCTGATACTTGCTGCAAAGAACATTTGTCCTGGAACCAGAACCTTCATGGCCAGTGGTGAGGAGACACCCAGAGTTGAGGTTTGAGGGTTTTTTTTCCTGAGGATTTACTGAGGTTCAAATGAGGACTGTCTTGTCCTTGCAAAATGCTTCTCACCAGGATTAAAGGCATCGTACCTACCTCAGATGCATTTGTATTAGTAAACCATGTCCAGGGTAAAGAAGTTGGATATTTGGGTAAGGTGGCTGGAGATGCCTCCTTTGCACTAATGCACAAAAAACTCCTTACTCCTTTCCCCCCTGAAGGCCATGTGTACTTTCAGAGCTGCTGGGAGCAAGGGACATGGCTCCCTGCCTCAGGACCCAGCTTGCTGCTGAGCCACCATCCACTGAGAGTTCACTTCACCACAGCACAGTTCTCCCAGGTGTAAAAGTTTTTCAGTATGGGATAAGAAACCCTCATATCCACCCCCACTGTGTTGCAGAGATGTGTTCCAGATGTGCAGCACAGGAGTGCATTGTCCCAGCACTCCCACTGGTCCAGCACCCAGCCCCAGCACAGCCTGGCCAGCTCAGGCCCTTACTCTCCCAGCTTGGTTCTCAGCTCACCAGCTCACTTCCTTACCTTCTCTTCCAGGAAGCTTGAATGTTTACCTGCGACTGAAAGGCCAGACCGCTATAGAGAACCCCTTGTGGTCTTCAAGTGGAAATAAGGGCCAGCACTGGAACCAAGCCCGTGTCAATATCAACCCCCCGACTTCATTCCAGGTATGGGACGGCGCTGGGCTGCACGTGCTTTGCGGTGCCCAAGCAGCACCAGGCGCTGCAGATGGAGGCATCAGGTCTGGGGCACGCATTCACTGACCCTTGTTTCTGACACAGGATTTCACAGCATCATTTCAGCCCTGAAAGCTGCTTTATGGACAGGTAATTGCTTTCCTTGCTGCAAATAGGTGAGCACTACAGAGCTTAATCATGCACACGTCAGTGGCAGAACAGCAGCTATTTCCTCTGAGAGGAAAAGCCTTTCAGTTCTTAGACAATGCTGTTAGCTGGTATAATATATGTATATATCTATATAATTTTAGACTACCAACTGGAATATGAAATTATTTCCTATGAAAAAACGTTTAGGGTCCATAGTGTAAAGTCTTTGTTAGATGTCTCAGAGAACACTTGGGTTTTCCATGAAAAAAAAAAAGGATCCATCTTTGCAGCGGTGCTGCTCAGAGCTCTGGCAATCTGTTTGCTTCTTTCACCACACGTTGTGTCAGGCTTCAGACATTTCAGTTCTGGTTTGACAGTGAGATGCTGATAACTTCTTAGAAGCAGCTCTTGTTTATGCCATGAGCTGTTTCTAAATGCAACAGGTCCAAAACATCAGCTGCTGGTTCCTGGGATTCCTGGGGCCCCCTAAAGAGACCATTTCTTTGGGAAGAGTCATTGAGCATGAACCAAAACTGCCATCCTGAACATGTGGGTTGGGTTCACTGCATGGGTAGATGCCAATCCCAACCTTTTGTCTTATCCCCATGTGTGAGAGGCAGTGATGGAACAGAAGTGCTTTAGCATAGGCAGTCACAGAAGCGTTGTGTGGGAAAAAATGAAAGGAGAATTAGTGGAGAGGGATGTGCAAAGGGCAGCATGATGTGCTTGAGATGAACAGAGAGGGATGGAACTGGGCAAAAAGACTGCAGGGAAGAAGAACAAGGGTGTTGAAATGCACGATTGGGAAGCTGGTCAGGGTTTGAGAGACCCCTCAAAGACCTTCTCATTCCAACCCCTCTGCCACAGGTAGGGCTGCCAACCACTAAATCAAGCACCAGATAAGGTGGCCCAGTGCCCCATTTACACCCATCCAACCTGGTCCTTGGGTGATGCTCGTGCCTTCTGTGGTTTGTAAGGGTGTCTTCCACTGCTCTCAGTATTTACTCATTGTTTAGTCATTTCACATGAGAAGCTTTGAACTATAGTGATGAGCAAAGAAATGTTGGAAGCTGCTAGAATAGGCTTGGACTTGTGTGCTGCTGAAATCAGTGGATAAAGAGAGAGTGCCCCAGACACCTCCCTAACGCAGCAAGCTCATTATGAGGTGTAATTTAAGCATTTTGCTCCAGATGGTGTTAATAATTTTTGTCAAATTGGCTCTACCTCCAAGAGTTAATTTCTCCATTAGTCCCACAGCACGCCCTTATAAGATTCATTGGATGTGATGCAAATATTGTCACAGATTAAAGGTTAGAAACTTTTCATCTAAGCGAGCCAAAAATATTTCAAAGATCTGAGTTGGGGGGAGCAATAAAGGAGAAGAGAGATAGCTGTGCAAATGGTGCTGCTTGGGAGATGTATCCCTTGCATAATTCCTTCATCTCATTAGAAGGGCTTTGAAGTTTGCTAGGGAATATATTTCTTGCTACACAGAATGAGTCCACTCCTCTGCAGAGCTAATTAGGCAGCAGTGAGGCAGGACAGCACCGTGTTGCACTGGGAGAGGAAAACAGATAACTTGGTTTCTTCTGTACAACAGTAGTGCCCAGCTGATAAGCAGCTTTATAGTAGATAATGGCTACAAGGTGCTCGTGCTGCATTCCGCCCCATAGGAAGTGCTTGCATGGCATTCCAGGCTCCTCGGGAAACTTTACTGCTGTGTGCTTCCCATTTGCAATCCTATGAACTGCTGTTCCTTTTATTTTTTGCAGCTTATATTTGAAGGGATCCGGGGCCCAGGCATCGAAGGAGACATTGCTATTGATGATGTATCAATTGTGGAAGGAGAGTGTATGAAATCCGACCAGCCGGCCAACAGTAAGTGGCTCTTCTATGCACTGGGGAGAGCAAATTGCTTCTTGTGCTGTAAAATTGAGGTATCTGCTGAAATGGGCGTTCTGTGAGAGAACAGAGCATTGTGTGGTTAAGTCAGAGAGGCTGCAGGAGAAGAGTTTTGCTTTCTGGCAAACAGCAGATGCTGGCAGCAGTGGGTTCCCTCAGGGCAGCACCCTTTACACCCAACCCTCCCCAGTGATTCAGGAGGGACAGATGGATGAAGCAACGTGAAAAATTGTTTGGGGAGTCAAAACAGTGTGAAACTTATAGTTAAACTGTCACAGTTGGACCTCTTTTCATCCCTCCATCCCCATGTTTGCGTTACGACACAGAGCTTTAATTCTACCTTTTTCCCCCTTTTTGTAGATTTACGATCAGGTGCTGTTGGGACATTAGAGCATATACGACTCATCCCAGTTACCATCCTCATGTTTGTCTTAAGTCATCAGAGGTGACCTTATCCTGGCAGAGGCTACAAAAGATTCACCAGGCACTGGCATGAAGAAAGAGTCTGTGTAAAATGGACATTTAAAAACAAACTACCAAAGATTCCTCCACTGACTGACTCAAATAAATACGTAAATAAATAAAAAAAAAAAAAAAGAAAAACAAACAAACAAAAAAAAAAAAAACAATTAAAAAGCACTGGGGACATAAAAGGCATCATGGGAGTGTAACTCACTATGAACCACGCGTGAGAACGAGATCTGGCCTAAGTGAGGAAGAGACCTTCAGGTGCTTTTGTGGTCAATAACGAATACAGCATCATCTGGTTGAACTCTCGGAACAGAGCGATAGAAACCCTTGTCAAAGCACAAAGTCATGGCTGGTTTTGTTTCAAATGAATAGTTTGCTTGTTACCATGGAAACCTAATGGCCTGCCAAAAAAAAAAAAAAAGAGGAGAGGAGGGAGAGGAAATAATAAAATTAAAACAGAGAGAGCAACACCTCACTGTAAACAGGGTATGTGAAGAGCTGGCATTCATTTTCCCTTCGAGGAGGTTTTTAGTGTAGAGTTAAAAACATGTAGGCCCTTTTGCCTTTGGCTGTCACCTCCCCTAGAGAGTAACCCCGAATCAGAGCTGTTTGAAGACATTTCTGTTTCATTTCTCACGGCTATGCTCGATAACTGTATGCTGTCTCCTTTTGCATGCATTACAATCCAGGATGTGCCACCTGGGCTTACATATGACACAGGCTTATCGGAGCTTGCTTGCGGCCACTCGAACACCCCTCTCCCCTCCCCAACTGAGTCATCTGTTCTAACGAAGTGAAGAAACCAAACCACCATCTTTTATAAATTGCCATGGAAACCAAGTGCCTTCAATGAAACAAGCCTGATTTAAAAGTATATGTAGAATAATAATAATTTCAACACAGAAGCTTGCACTGCTAAAATGTGGTTTGTGCAAACTATTTTCTAAACAAACTACGGAGCCCGGGTGTGCAGACTGCAGGCGAAGGAAGCGAAGTCGCTCCTGGAGGTGGATGGACCTGAGCTGCTGCGTAAGCCCTCTCGGACGAGCTATCTGTTGTTTAACCTTCCAGACAGCCATGGCCTTTCAGCTTATTACCCATTAGAAAATAGCTTCCGTTGGTCCTGGAAATGGGAGCAGCGCTTTTTATTTGTTCCTTTCAGGTGATCAGGTGGGTCAACCAGAGGAAGAGGTGGTGGAGATGTACTTAGGGGTGCAGCACTGCGCTCTGCAGGCACAGCTGGGCACGGGGCTGCTGCTGCTGCTGCTGCTGCAGGGAAGTCAGAGTTCCACTTGTGCAACAAAACACACGTGGGTTTGGAGCTGCCCCAAAAGCCAGCCGGTTTTCCACTGCATTGTAAATTTCCCTGACAGTTGGTTATGACAATTTGAAGACCTTTTTCCTTAAATTATCTCAGCTTTTAACTTCATTTAAAAAAAGAAAAAAAAAAAAAAAAAAAAAAAAAAAAATTTTTTAAAATTTAAAAACTTTTTTTTTAAATTTTTTTATTTTTTAAATTTATTTAAAAAAAAAAAAAAAAAAAAAAAAAAAAAAAAAAAAGACTTTTGTCTAAAGAGGAGTATTATTATTATAATTATTATTATTATTACTTGTTCTCTCAACACCCTAGGATTAAAAAAAAACCTGATATGCAAGAAATTGGAGTACCAACAAATGAAAACAAACCAACAGCATCGTATTTGCAAACATGAGTATAAAAAGCACAACGAGATGCAGTACAACAATGACAAGGCTTGATTTTTTTTTTCTTTTTTTTTTTTTCCTTTTTTTTTTTTTTTCTTTTTTTTTTTTTTTTTTTATTCTGTAGAGAAATGTTTGTGCAAATTCAGTAATTCAACTGAAGAGATAATTTTACAGCTATGTTCAATAAAGCCTCTTTCCAGGTAAGGTATGCCACGTGGTGCGTGTGTTTGTTGGGCGCTGTGCACGGGGTGCTGCTGGGCTGATGCAGATGCTGTCTGCAGATGGAGGCACGGCCCGTGGAGCTGGCCAAGGATGCTGCTGGTGCTGCTTTGGAGGTGCTTTGTGGTGTCCGATGCCCGGGCTGCAGCAAAAAAAGCTGCTTGGATGACAGCAGGAGCCCAGAGCTTGGATGGACTGTGGGGTTTGTTAATAAAAGGAAATTTCCCACTGGAAGCATTGGATTTTAATTGTGGACCAGAGATCCGAGTCAGGTGCGGCAAGATCCTGACCGGAGCTTTGCTTAGGAGGTTGGTGTGCCTCAGGATTTGGGGTCTGTGGAAATGGGACCTTCACAGGCATCTGCCTGAAAGCCAAAGGACCACAGTCAGTGCAAGGGACCCCACAGGGCACTGCTGGGGCCACTGTGCTCACAGCCATGGCTCCAGAGCCCTGCCCAGAGGAACAGCAGGCTGCAGCGTGTTCCCTGTTGCTATTTCCTATTCCACCCTTGCCCATCATTAGAGCAGGTCTGATGCAGTGGGGAATATAGAAATAGCAGCCAGCTGTCAGTCATTCTGACGTAAGGTGGGAACCATTCCATTCCCTTGAAAATGCTGTCCCTCACATTGATTCTTTCAAAACTGGACTCAACATCCATAGATTCGGACACCCGTTGGTCAGCTCAGGCCAGGATAAGTGACCCCAAAGCAGCCACTACTGCAGGTTGCTGAACTGGAGGTCGTGCATTTGTGGGGACCGCAGGCTAAGACTGAAAGCTGAAATCCCCATTCCCTCCTCATATTTCTCGTCTTCTTTCCTTGCTGGAAGACAGGGATGAATATTCAATGAAAGCTTTGGCCAAAGACCAAAGTTGTCGTTGTCGGGGCAGGATGAGCTGAGGAGCAGGTGGTTTTGTGGAAGGGAACTTGCTTGCCCTGCCTATTTCAGTTCTGTTCTGCTTACATGGACGCAAAAGCAGGTGCTAAGGTGTTTTCTCTCTTTCAGACATTGATTTAGTATAGTGTTGTCTTCCTTTACGTCCCTAACCTAAGGAACTGAAAAGGCAGTGGGATTTTATCTTGGGCTACAAGCAAATAGATAAAAGATATGCATTTCCTAGTCTATATATAGACATATATTTCATTTTGGTGTGAAAATGAATGAAGTATTTGTAAAAAAAAATGGGTGACAACCAGACAGAGAGCTGCTGTTCATTTCTTGGATTACATCTAGTAACATTCCTGACTTGTTTTTAAATGATTCCTCAATACACAATTGTGCAAAAGTGGACTTAGAGCAAGAGCAGGACAGAAGCTGGCTGCTGGCATCAGCCTGGCTTTTTAGGGAGGCAGCTCAGAACCAGCTGGGTGTTCCCATGGCAGAGGTAAACTGACCCCACAATGAAGTTTGCAGTGAATTTTATTCTCAGGATGGTCAGGGAGATCGAGGAGCATTCCCCTTTCGTAGCAAAGGAGTGCTAATTCTTTTTGTTCACAGAGCATGCAGTTTGAATGGGAAATCCCACATGCAATTGTTGAGGACTCTGATCTCACTGTACAACCAGCCACTGCTTCCCCAGCCAGCTCCAGCCAGGCAATGGGACACAAGGGGATAAAAGAGCAGAGACCTGAAGGGGGCAAACACATCACAAAACACATTAGAAACGCACCACTAAGACGAAGGCAAGGAGCAGCTCCTGGAGAGCCTGTCAAAGTGCTGATGCCTTGCATGACAAAAAAGCATTTGCTCATGGATATTGCAGAGGATAGGTTCTTTACCCTGAGCTTACATTGTATCAGCCAGTTTTTGGAAATGATGGTCTTAGATGTATGCTGCTGTCAGGCCCACGTAAATCCTTGGAAATGTAAAATTTCTTGCTCAGAAGCTTTGGAAGAGTGCTGACCTCCAGGGATGCCAACGCAGTTCCCTTCCTGACACCGAGTGCTTGAATCTCCACTGCATTCACCAATGTAAATGGCACTGTTTAGTGTGAGCACCTCTCGAGGCAATCAGAGGCCCCAAACTGCAGAACAGAGCTGAGGAGTGACAGCATCAGCTCCTTGTTCAAATTTGGTTTCTTTTTCACTGCCTTCAGGGTCAGTGACATCCCTTGCAGTGAGCCACGTAGTCAGAGCGATGGGATTCTCTTCACTCCCATTGGAAGAGGTTCTGCTGCTTCATTTTTGGAGGGTTTACTCACTGGTATTATTTTTTCATGTATCTGAGGATGGTTTAAATGCTCTTCTCGCCCAAAAAGAGCTGCTGTCCATTGGAAGAATTGCTCTATATGGGTGTTTGATAACAAAGGTAGTCCCATATTATAACACCTTTGCCTGTATATGCCAGTAAAAAGATTAGAGGCCATCAGGATTACTTCTTACATTTTCCTATAAAAACCTATGCAAGAAACTCATTGCATTCCTTTGTGCCAAGAAACTCCCTGCCCTGCAGCTCATGCACTCATTCAGTTGAGGGACATTTGGTCTTTAGAAGTCTGGGGACATCTTCTGCCTGAGCTCTGCCCCCTGCGCCTCCCTGTAATTCCCACAGGAACACATCCCAGCACACATGGACAGGGTTTGGAGTGGGGAAGGATGTGTGGGGCACTCCTCATGGGTCTTAAAACCAATTAAAAGGCAGAAGGGGAATGATTCATGTGTGTTTTGCCTTCTATAAGGCTGCTCATAAGGCTGTTGCAAAGCCTCGCCAGCATGGAGGTGTTCACAGCCACTTTGGTGTCACTTGTTCTGTGCCAGCATGTGTCTGGTGTTAAATTCCTCCTGCCTTGGGCTCCCAGACCACTTTCAGATCCCCTTTTGGCTGTTTTTGGACAAGCTACAGCGCTGGTTTCTCTCATTTAGAAAAGATACGTAGTAATAACCAGGAGCTATCATGGACCTGAATACAAGACACTGGGGGTAGTACATCCTATGTGACGTACTGAAATATGACAGATCACCATTGTATCTGTCAGATTGTGGAGTCTGTATGCTGAGTTTTATATTATGGGAAGGATGCTGTTGTTTTTTTTTTCCCTGAACACAACCTCTACAGCCCGTGTAGGTGGCACCCAACTTACATGGGTGTAAGTTGGACTTTCTGGACTGAGGCTTCAGTGGTGACACAAAGATTTTGCTTTCATGAAATAGCATCTTACACACCCTTATCAGGCTGTGATATAATGGGACTACTCAGGTGAGAGTAAACTGATCGAGTCATCAGAGACAGAAGGATGCATGCGTGGGGGGATACTTTGATCCTCTCAGCCACAAGCATACAAGTTCAGCAGTGAGCTCCTGACCTTGAGATCAACCCAAGAGCATTAATCACAAAATCAGTGTTGGGCGCCCGACAAGTGCTGGTGCATCAACAGAAAGGTCGTATTTGTGTTCCTCTATAGATGTGTCCATGCATCCTGGCAGCCACACCTAACGGAGTCTCTCCTAGCTGGCTCTCTGTGACATGGTCAGGTTTACCTCTGTTGAGCACAGCCTTATCAGAGCCAACCGAGGACCTATGACAGGTGAATTGCAGCCTATTTCCTCCCCATTTATATTCTCCATATGTTGTTGTTTTTGTTTTTTGTTTTGATTGAGAAACAGACTTGAATGTTGGCAGGTGCTTGGACAAATGAATATTAATGCAGCTTTGCTCACGGTTAAGGTCAGAGCCAACAAGTGGAGAAATGCTGCTGCTGATGCTTTGGGACCCAGGATCTTTGCATGCCACAAGCCTTCACCTTCTGCAGGCTGGAGGTTTGCACTCCTCCACCCGTGAGGAAGAAACAGGAACCCCACAACAACCATGACTGTAAAGCATTGGGTGGTTTGTGACAGATATGACCACAAAAGGAATTGAGGAAACACACATTTCTGTGAGTAGGAATTAGCAGCCTCAGCACCTTCTCAGGAAAGATCAGATGCGCTTCTGCTTGCACATTACCAACTGCAAGGGGTTGAAATCTGTGTGTTTGTTTGTGTAAATAGTATATAAATAATTGTAATTGTATGTATTTAATGTATATATAATGATTATTACATTTTAACTATCTCAAGTATTGTATATAGCCAAACTTGGTCTCTTATTTTACTAGAACGCCCACTGTAGATTTATTTTTTGTCATTGTTGTTAATGTATCTGGTTAAATTACAAACTGGTCTTACTTTTACCTCAAAGGATATATGTTCTTTATGTACATTTTATAAAGAAAAAGAAAGAAATCACTCCATACGTTTGGTTACCTCTTCAATTGCCAGTAGTATTTTCTGTCTTTGCCTTTCTGGTCGTGTGCTGCCTTTGCTCCTTCCCCCCAGCCCCACTCCATGGAAGGACGGAGGGCAGATGGGAGGGACTGGGTTTGGGGGCAGTGCTTTGTGCTCAATGTGTCCCTGCCTTCCTGAAAGAAGGTTGTCCCCAACTCATTCCCTCACCCCCTACTTTGCAGTGAAAGGCTTCGAAGAGATCACAAGAGACAAACCATCCTCTTCACTACTGGGGCCTTTCTTGCTT